GACCAGCGGTGGCTGGGGCGGGGATGCCCAGGGCAGAGCCGGACTATCGGAAGGGGGGCTATGAGGGGTCTGTGGTGGCATCCCCCCCACGCCACCCCAGACCCCTCATAGCCCCCTCTTCCAATAGTCTGGCATATCTGATAATTCAGCACCCCCTGGGTCCTAAAGGTGCCGGATTATCGGAAGTTTACTGTATTGTTATTTGTCAACAGTTGGCCAGAGAGACTAGAAAAAAATCTGGAACAAAATTTTAAAAGATTTCATAGGTTATCGCAAGACGGTTGAAGTTGAAAGAGATAGAAACTCCATACTTGGTTTCTATTGAAGTCCATCTCATTACATTACACTATCATTCTTCATTATGACTACACCTGTTGAAGGAGGTGGGAGACTGGTAAATGCACAAAGTGCTGATAAAAAAAGCTTGGTTTCTGAACTGTACTTATAGTCCAGCATGCTAGGACCTTACATTGCAAATTGACATGCTTCAGAAAAATAACAGAGTAAGGAAAAGTTGGTAGAAACAAGTGCTAATGATTACATTAAATGATTACTTGGGTTGTGATGCTATACACATCGTGGAACGAGGTTTACAGCTAGTTCGGATTAGGAAGTCTAATCCGAACTAGCTAGTCCGTGCCGCGTGTAGCCGCGTGGCATGGGGTCCGACCTAGCCGGCATTTAAAAATGGCACCGGCCGGCTTTATGAAAATGAAGCCCGGGAAATTCAAATCCTGGGCTTCATTTGCAACTCCATATGACTACATTACCCCCCCTAGTTCGAACTAGGGGGGGTAGTGTAGACATACCCTTATGTACTGGTATAGGCAGGGCATTCAGAGGAATTAGTGAGAGAAAGGATAGAGAGAGTAATAAAAAGCAAAGTGTTGAAAGAAATGGCATATATGGAAGTGAGTAAATGGGAAGAAAAGTGACCATTTCTGATCCAGCAGCACACCGTAATCGGGCAAGTAACTGAAGACAACATGCAAGTGGCTTGTGCCCAATTTTTGCTTCCTTGTGATGGATAAAGGGAGCATGTAAAGGTATATCAATTTTTTGTACTTTTTTTAAAACATACATTTCAGGCCCCATCTACCCTCCAAGACTACAGCAAAAGACAAGAGCAAGCATGAGATTTTTAGACAGGCTGTTTAAAGCTTTGAGTTTAACAAACAAACCTTAACACAAATGGAACACTTCGGGAGAAAATGACATTGTTAAATATTCAACACCCCTGCTCCTTCAAAATAAGTGTGAGATCTCACACCACCTACTCTAATAGCTAGTATCAGAATCTTCTAAGCCTAGCACTAACCAACTTTCAAGGTTTCTCTCCAACCACCAAAGGTGTTCAGAGACAAGGTGGTAGTTTGGGAAGCAACCCCAGATTACTGTCTCTGCTCATGGTGCACTAGTGAACTTCCTAGGTATGGGTGATTAGGAATTCACCATAACCCTCAGTACTCAAATACTGGGAGGCATTATCCTAGGGCAGTGGTCTCCAACCTTTTCACACCCAAGATCAGTTTTTAAATGACAGAACAAGCCAAGATCTACTGCCCTGCCCCTTCCTTGAAGCTCCACCCTCTCTATTCTCCTTCTCTCCATCACTTGCTATCCCCAACCCTTATACTGTTGCTTTTTTCCCCAATTCTTCTGTAGGAAGAGGTTTTTCCAACATTTGGCCTGTCTAGACTGGACCAAATGTCAGAAAAACTCCTTTTTTTGGAAGCTCACTTATTCCTTGCGGAAAGAGGAATATAGAGGCGATGGAAAGATCATGTTGGCTCTTTCACTAAAAGAAGTGGAAGAACAAATGCATCCCTGGATGCAGAAGAGTTTTTCTGGGATATCTCCGGAATCCTGAAAAACTCCTGCAGTCTAGCCGTAACCTTGCTGGATTGAGACAGGATGTGTAGGCTCTGGGGTGGGAATGAGGGATGTGTGTTTGGGAAGGGGTGAGAGGTGCAAGCTCTGGGAGGAAATATGGATGCAGGAGAAGGTGGATAAAGGGACACTGGCTTGGGGAGAGGGCGCCAGGCTGGGCAGTGTTAGGGTCAGATGTAGGGTTAGGGTACTAAACAAGCCACAGACTTCTGGATGTGAGGGTTCAGGAATTTGGGTTGGGGTATGTGAGGGGCTCAGGGCAGGGGGTTCCAGGGTATGACAGGCTCAGATGTAGGGGAAAGGGGAGCGCAGGAGTGTTATGATGCTGTGGCCAGATGGGGGCTTGGTCCCAATTTGGGGTTTGTTGGCCAGGCTTCATTTTTAAATAAAATACTGTGTCAAACAAAAAGCTTCTGCATTGTCTTTATTTCTGAGAAGGGCAGGGAACCTGTCTTGAGTCAGGGGTCACCGACCCAAGAAAAGTCAGTTGGGGCCACACAAGTGAAATGCAAAAAAACCCTCCTCCACCCTAAGCTTCACTAATGTGGCCCCAACTGTGTTGGTGGGAGCAGGGGACATAGTACTGGGGAAGGGTGCTAGTGGGTGCTTTGGCAGGGGACAGGGTGCCAGTGAGGACAGAGTTCTGTGGCTCAGGACAGGGGAATGAGGACAGAGTTCAGAGAGTGGGGATGGGAATGGGGACAGAGTTCTGTAGCTGGGGAGAGGGAACTGGGCAGTGGGGACAGGCAGGCAGTGGAGGCAGAGAGTCCCCTGCATCTGCCTCCTCCCAGGAAGCCAGCGTGTGCCTCCTCTGGGCCCAACTCCCCCCCCTCTCCCCGCGGGGAAACCCCGCGCGCGCCTGTCCCGGGGCCGACCCACCCCGGTGCAGGGAAGCCCCGCGTGCGCCTGCCCCAGGTCTGACTCCCCCCATCCTGTGCGGTGCAGGTAAGTTGCTGTGCTCTTCCTCCGGAGCCGATGTTCACTCCCGCAGTACGCCCAGCAGAGCAGCTAGCGCACTTCTGGAATTGCTGGAAATGGCGCTAAGCTGCAGGACTTCTGTCCATCCCCGGGAAGCCAACACTACCTCCATTTTCACTTGAGGTAGGTAGTGGGGTTTCTCGGGGGTGGAGGGGCAAATGGGGGGGGGGACCGGGCAGGACGCCTCGCGATCGACTGGTCGATCGCGATCGACCTGTTGGTGACCACGGTCCTAGGGCTACCAATAATGAAATTTAGAGACAATAATGTTGAGCTATTCTGACAAAAGGATGGATGTTCAATTCCCTCCTTTCTTCCTAAGTACAAAGAAAGATTTGGAGCCATGAAAAATATCTGTCGCTCTCTCAGAGACAGGGAAGCAAATACCATATACTTGAGATTTGTTTACATTTTGAGTCCTGGGAAGGGAAGCTTTAACTACACAATACCCTCAGAGGGGAAGACTTCATGATACCAGGAGAGAAAGTGAGGGGATACTTGCTTAACCGCTACTCCATAGACATAGCCCTTTTAATTCAGTCCACAATATTGTGGAGGCAGAAAAAGGGAATAAGGGAATTTGTGTGCAGCCATCTTGGTCTTGTTAACAAGAGAGCAAGAGTCAGGCTAAGTCTGTGGCCTGACAATGCGAGATCTGTAATTAGACGCTGCCTTTGCCTCTCGCCTCCATACGGAGATAAGGATAGAATGCTGACTCTGGCAGGGACCTTGAGATAAGGAGCATCTGGGTGGAACTAAATAACTGTTAACCATTGGTGTTTGTAATGGGAAGGAGACTAATTGTTATTGTTATTATATTTAATAGACAGTATATAAACTGCTTCATAATTGCTTGTATTTGAAGATCTGCCTTGAAGGGGGGGGGGCTCCCCCCCGTCCAAACCAGTTTTTCCCTCGCTGCAGCTCGTAATAAAACTGCCTCTGGCTACTTGCTGCTTACAAACGCAGAGCGAGGACAATGTTTTCTTCCACAATATGCATGCTCCAGCAAAACAAGAAAGAACACACTATGTGGTACAGAACAAGACATTTGGCACTGTTACCTCATAGCACCTGATGCTTGCAACTTCCTCCCACCTCCTCCCAAACCTCATAACGTTTTGCCTGTTTTTTCCAGCTCCTTACATCTATCCTCTTACTCCTCACCAACTCCCCATCTTGATTTTTGCTGTTCCCAAATCAACTGTTAGATTACTCAGCTTGGATTCTAAGATCTACAGGTCAAGGATTACATCTTTTCTAAATTCCTTGAAGCGCCTAGCATGCTCAAGCACAGTTTAAATAAAAAGGCGGCAATCAGAGAAATGCAATTTTCCCCCGAACAACCCATTTCAGAATCGCTGGAAGTGGTGCAAAGATATTCTGTAGATACAGTTGTAAGGTTATTTACTTAAAACTGATTGTTTATATTTCATGGCACTTAAAATGAGACAGATGCTTTCTACCTACAGAGCAAGACAAATCCCTGCACTATAGAGATTACAATCTAAACCAAGATCTACTGAACTAGAATTTATTTCAGTGGGCTTTGGATCAGGCCATCAGTTTGTTAAAATCCTTCATGCAAAGCACTATAAATACAAGATGAACTGGTGCCATTTCAGTTTTTACAAACCTGTGTACGGCATGCTGAAGAAATTGAAGGTCCTATGGAACAGCTATTATCTTCAGTATATTGTGTAGGTTTCCTAAAACCAGGTGGTAAAGCAGGACCTATAACAGGCCTCAAAGAAAAAGAAGAATTCTTATTACCTTCCCCTAATTTAAAAACATCAGTAAGAAAAGCATTTAAGTTACAACTTTTTACTGTCTGCAGCAAGAATCAATATTTGCACAGTTCAATAAGCAAGAACTGGTAAAGTTGAAAGTGTTTTCTCTTATGACAGTCACATTTTCATTGATATGCATAAATTTTCAGTGAGGATATTATCAACTTGAAAAAAAATCACACTTTACACCTCCACACCACAGGAGATTTTTAAAGTTATCACTTTTTTTTTTTTTTTTTTTTAAAGCAGGCACTGTCTCTATTAAATATCTCCCATCTGTTTATCAATATGATCTCCACTATCCAAGCTTTTTGTGCAATCAAAACCATCTCATCAGAGTTTAAAGTCGGAATCGGCCAGTCAATCATCCTGAGAATTATTAGACTATCATGTACCTCAGGCAGAGAACCAGAGGGACTGAGGTGCATCACTGCTTGAGGCCCCTTTAGTGTCAGGGAAATGACTGAAGTGAGATACATCCAGGTAATCCTGACAAGTGACCCGCATGAATACTCTGCAGGGGAAGGTAACTCCTCACCACCACACACACAACACTACCACTCTAACCTGGGAGAAAATTTTCTTTCTGACCCTGCATTATGGTGATTCGTTACAACCTAAACATGCTAGGAAGAACCAGGCAGCCAAGCACCTGAGAGAAAGAGAATACTCAGTGCCATCTCAGAACACTGGTCTTCCCCATCCAGTATCCCAACTCTAGCTGTGACCATTCTTAATGCTGAATGTGCAACTTTAGGAACAGAGGAAGTGAGCTCCAGGGTTGTTGAATTATGGTTTTATTAAATCTGGGATAATCTGATCAATCCAGCCTGGCAGTAACATCACTACAGCAAAGACCTCAACCAAAGCAAACAAACCTTATCGAACTCCTATAGTCAGAGGATTACACCTACAGTACTGATACCAGGGAGTCAGACAAGGGGTGTAGGCGTAAACAGGGAGCACCCACATAGTTCAGAGGCAATCATAGTTGAGAAGCCAACCTGCTGTAACACCAATACTAGGAAAGGGGGGAAGGGAATGCTGATAATTCTACTGTGGTGCTGCCTCTAGCTAGAGAGCTCTTTCATTGCAGCTTCTGGGTTACAAGTGGCTGCTAAATGCGAAGCTCCACCCCCATCTAGCTGCTGGAACAGAGAAACAGCTTTTTGTTTTCTCTTCTGTTTTCTGACTACTACTGCAGTGTCCACACAGGAGGGCTTTTTGGTATAACTTAAATGTGAATTTAAATATATCCTGGTGGGACCCCTTATTTTGATCCAAGAGTGCTTTTTTTATTTCACTCATGTTGCTTAGAAGAGGTTTAAGCCAAACAAACAAAAAGAAAAGAAGCTGCTCTAGTATGTCACTGCAGCTGGAGAGTGTAATTGGGAGTGTGGGCAGACAGACCTATGCTAAATCTGAGCTAGCACACTAGTGTGGATGTTACCACAGCCCACCTGAAGCCCTTGGTTCAAGCTTGGGTAGTTAACCCAATCCGCCATCCATGCTGCAGTGTATGTGCTATTTTTAGTGCTCTAGCTCAGGCAGAGCTAGCACATGTCTGTCTACCTGTGTGGGGGGATCACACCCAGCTGCAGCACAAATATTCCCTTACACTCCAAAGTACAGCATCTATGCTGAGGGTTATATTTGTATAACTCATTAAACGTTCCTATGTAGACAAAGCCTGAGAGAGAGGCAGACCTCAGCTACTCTACCCCTCTCCCACCTTGTAGACCGTTCCAGTGAGGGATTATGGTTTTCAATCCTCTATACATCCTGCTGCCTCCATTTCAGTGGTGTCTTCTGCATGAATAACTCTTCCGCAGCTGCTGCTGCTGCTCAGGGCATTCCTCAGCAGCATGGAACTGACATGATTTCTGACAGCTTCCTGGCTGCCCAGAGGATCTCAGAACAGCAAGGGGAGTGAAATCTTGTTAATATGCTCTGCAGTTTGGCACAGCTTTGATGTTTATCTAAGGGTGCAGGCAGAAAACAGGGCAGCTGTTTACTTTTGGCTTATATGCAGAAGACTATTTCAGAAACCTAAGGGCAGGATAAAATTTCATTTAAAAAATATTGTAAGTTACACAAAAATTGATGCATCATGAACCTCACATGTACCTGAAAGTTTCCAATTAGCTGCTGTATTTTTCAAATCAAAGCTAGTATTATGGATGAAGATGCACTCATCTCCGTAATCCTATTTTTCTGATGCTTATTTTTTTCAATAATATTCACAAGTTGAATTTTTATATTTTAACATTATTAGTGACACTTTTCAAAAGTAAAGAGTTCATTTATAATTTACACTTGGCTAACTAAAAAAAATGTTTTAAAAGCTGAAAATGGCATATATACAGTGTTCAATTAAGAATAGATGCTTTGACAAGTTTGAAAGATGTGTCTGAGAAATAAAGATGTTCAAAGGAGTGGATACATTATACAAAGCATAAACAATGTATCCTCACCTACTTAGAAGCCAACCATATACTGGGATATCTGTGCGCTGAAATCAACATGCATCATTTTGTTTCAATAATTATGGACTACATTAAGCAGACTGTAAACTGACCAGAATAGGGACACTGATGTTTTGCTGCCCCTGTTAACAGTCAATCTCCTTCCCACTCTCATCACTACTCTGGGGAGGGAGTAAATGACATCCCATCTATACCAGTCACATCAGGTGTTGTCCAAGGTGACAGCACAGCAATGCTGTGTTTGCACTGGGGAGCCATGAAAGAGAGACAAGGCTCTGCATGGTCCCTATCCTTTTCACACATTTGCTTGAGAAGGGCAGATAACTCTGCAAAGCCTGTTTCTCTCCAGGTGCAAGGGGATAACCTAATGCCGCTTTACTCCCTTGTGCCACACACAGTATGGGGCACATTCTGGCCTGTATGTTCACTTACTGCACATTAGCCCTAATTGTGCTTTGTTTAACTGGACCATAGGAGCAAATCACTAAGCAGAAAAAAAATCTGGGAGGGGACCAAAAGACTTTTAAACACCTTTAATATAGTAGTTCCACTTAACAGCAATCTTGGTATTAACAACCTCCTGTTTCTGACAATGTTTTGCTGGGAACCAACCCCATCCCATTAACATCAATGGATATTAGCAACAGCATGCTGCTTATTGGTAACTTTTTAAAATAAAGACACCCCCCTACTGCATACAGATTTATTGGGCTGCAGATGGGGAAGAAAGTGCTAAGATGTGCTGTTCATGCCATGCACATGGCTTTTTAGGGCTGCAGCCAGAGAAGGAAGTGGTTGGATGTACACTTTCCTGCCCCAAGGCCTGGAAAACTCTGTGGCTAGTGCTCAGCCCATCCCAATACTTCCTTCTGGGGCTGCAGCCAGGCAAATCAGTCCCTGCACAGGGATCACAAGTGGCTGCAGGATGACACAGGAAGCTGTGGTCAAGGGAACAGTGGTGAGAGGAGCTGCAAAGTACTGCTCCATATATTAGGCTGTGCCCTGCTGGCGGCCTGCACTGCTGAAGGAAGGACGTACTGGAATGTGCTAAGCCCTGGCCCCTGTAAAGTGCAGGGAGCAGTATGGTGCAACCCCATAAGTCTCCAGCATCCCTGATCCCCTGAGAAAGCCCCAGCATCCAGACTGCAGCTTTCATCCCTGCTGCTGCCTTCCCTGCAGCCAGGTTTACAGAGCTGCACCTGGGAAAGATATGTTTCAGTGCTTCTTTCCCTGCGTGCTGGATCACAAACCTAACTTTTGCTTATTAGCAACTGATGTAATACCAACTTTTTGCTGGCAACTGAGGAACTGCCAATAAGCAGAATCTACTCTACATCAGGGAGTGGAAGTGAAACGTGCACAGTTCTTTGCTCTCTAGTTACCTTTAAATGGCTGTCTTTCTCCCATGGACCCAATCCTGCTAGCCATGTTCACCATCAACATCAAGAGGACTAAGAGTGTAATGCTTTCAGGATTACACCCTTTGGCTGTGTCTACATTGGCAAGATTTTGCGCAAAAGTGCCTGCTTTTGCGCAAAAACTTGCTGCCTGTCTACACTGGCCGCGAGTTCTTGCGCAAGAACACTGACGTTCTAATGTAAGAAATCAGTGCTTCTTGTGCAAGAACTATGACGCTCCCGCTCAGAATAAGCCCTCTTGCGCAAGTGGTCTTTCTTGCGCAAGAGAGCGTCTACACTGGCACAGATGCTTTTGCGCAAAAGCACATGCCAGTGTAGAGTATTTGCGCAAGAGAACGTCTAACGCAAAACTCTTGCGTTAAAGAGTATTTGTGCAAAATCTTGCCAATGTAGACGTAGCCTTTGGCTATTTTATTGGTGATCCTATTTTTATATGGCTGAAAGAACATCTCTTCTCTACATGAAACATGTTTTCAATATTGTTTGTGCTGTGGTAGCAGGCCCCTGAAGCACAGGGTACTGCTTCATCTTTACTTGCATTTGTACAATGAGAAGGGAGAGAGGAAAGACATCAGTCACAGAACTGTTACAGATGTGCACAATTAGATGGTCCCAAATAATCTAAAGATTTAAAAATATATATATAAATTAATAAATAATAAAATCAACGTTCCCTCTCTGCTGCCCTAGTTAGCCATTGTTTGGCTGAGTTCCTTTATGTATCACAGCACAAATGGCTCCTTGAGGAGGGATTTCTAAGACAAGCGGGCAATGGCCTTTATAATGAAAGTAAGGTCTAAGGTGTCATATTATTGTTATATTATCCTGAAACAATTATACCCGCTATTTACACTATTTTTAACTACACATTTGGAGACAGTTTTATATTTCAGATGTCACAGTCCTGTTATAACTCCATCTGCTGGACACTCACCAAGCTGTTGCTTTGGGACTATGTGCTTTTAAGCTGCCTGATTAGAATCCAGGCGCTGCATTTGCGTCACTGGCCACACTCTGGAGATGCCAGCTAGCAACCCCTGTGATGTTATCTGATTGAAATATGACCATGTAGATCACTGTTGCAACCGCGGATATATTTGCAACCAATCTTGTACAAAGTGGGCCGAGGGAGATGTCTATGTAAAGCTTATGGCTTTCAGGTTATGATTATGCTATTTGTATGCATATATCATTTTTGTATTTGAAATTATGAGAATTGGCTATGTGCTTGCATATCCAATGTTTTCTTCTGGGAAACACCAATAAGAGATTTGACCAATGTATTGTGAAAGGACTATTCAAGTTGAACAGAAGTATTTGAGTGACAATCAGACTTGGAAGGTGCCAATCTACATTTGATGAGCCTCCTGTGAATGTTCAGACTAGCACGGGAACAATGGCTTCTACCTGTAAAGAACTGAGTCATGCATGGACAGGTGACTTGCCCATGCAGTTCCAAATTCCGTATTGTTGTACTTTTCCACAACAAGAACAAGGTGATTCCCTCCACATGGCAGAAGATATAAAAGGACCTGTCTTCAATCTTGCTTTTTACCTCTGGAGAATCTTTGCTAGAAACTGAAGTGCTAAACAATAGGACTGAATTACCTATTCAAACTTCAGATATACTTCAGAGACTTGTTTTAAGACAATTTATTCAATCGCTACTAAAAGCCTGAATCAAGAACTTTGCAATTATTGTATGTATTTGATTCTTTGAACAATTCTGTCCTTCCTTTCCTTCCTATGAATAAACCTTTAGATTTTGAATTTTAAACAATGGGAGATAGAACCTTAACCCACAATTATGCTAAATTATAAACTGACCTGACAATGTGGCCAGTCCTTTGGGATTTTATTTGATAAGAATATAAGAATGGCCGTACTGGGTCAGGCCAAAGGTCCATCCAGCCCAGCAGTCGGTCTGCTGACAATGGCCAGCACCAAGTGCCCCGGAAGGGGTGGACCAAAGACAAATCAAGCGATTTGTCTCGTACAATCCATCTCCAGCATCTGACAAACAGAGGCCAGGGACACCATTTCTACCCCCTGGCTAATAGCCTTTTATGGACCTAACCTCCATGAATTTATCTAGCTTCTCTTTAAATTCTGTTATAGTTCTAGCCTTCACAGCCTCCTGTGGCAAGGAGTTCCACAGGTTGACTATGCGCTGTGTGAAGAAGAACTTTCACTTATTAGTTTTAAACCTGCTACCCATTAATTTCATTTGGTGTCCTCTAGTCCTTATATTATGGGAACTAATGAATAACTTTCCTTTATTCATCCTCTCCACACCACTCATGATTTTATATACCTCTATCATATCCCCCCTCAGTCTCTTCTTTTCCAAACTGAAAAGCCTCTCTTCATATGTGACCTGTTCCAAACCCCTAATCATTTTAGTTGCCCTTTTCTGAACCCTTTCCAAGGCCAAAATATCTTTTTTGAGGTGAGGAGACCACAGCTGTACACAGTACACAGTGGTTTTCATAACCACTCATCTGTAGAAGGAGTGCAACTGGTGGTAACACAGGGGAACTGGAGTGTCTGAGGCAATTGCTTGCATGACTTTTTCTGAGCCAGTGTGGTGAACCACAAGTCCTCGTTTTGACTGATTTGGTGTACCTTACAATGGAGAAACCCCAGTACTAAGCTGTTGAATTGATACTCTCAGTAGTATCCCCCCAGAGTACTCCTTGTAATACCGCCCCAACTGAAAGTTCAACTGTCTGTGCCCTGTGTTTTGCGCTAGCTACCCCAGGCTCCACAATATCTTATGCACAGTCTTGCCCAGAGTGCCAACTTTGTGGGAAGTCTAGTTTACATCCATCTCTCTAGGGACACAATAGTTGAAGCACACAATGGGCTTTGAAAAAGTTCCCCAACAGTTAATCTTTTCTAGAAAAAGCACAATAAATATACATATCTGGATAAAACACTGTAACACCTGCATCTCATCCCTGCCTCAGTTTCCTTACCCCTTTAGAGCATTTTTTTGTGATCTGGCTCAGTGTCTACATAAGGAGTTTGGGATCCTTCCTCTCCCCTTGCTCTCCTGCCCATGGGTTCTCCTCTGGAACATGACATTTCTCTGGTCTTTTCTCCAGCCAGCCTCCTTTAACCTGGGTTGGTAACACAGTTAAAGTCACCTCTGTTACAAAAACAAGATGTTTGTGCTTCTCTTCTGCCCAAGCCTCTCCTTGTGTCTGAGTCCCTCTGAGCTTTTAAAGGTACTATACGCTTCTTTAGTTTCCTGTTAAGGGATTTTTCCACTCTACAAACTCTCTTCCCTTCAGCAACCTAGGCAGAATTAGTTCTCACAGCTCACACACTGTTGGGCACCACAGATCTCACAGCCAGGTCGGTAGGGCTGCCAAGAATCAGCCTTATCTTCTGCGCCACTGAACTACAAGGGCACACAATGGAACTACTGCTAATACCTCACCACATCAGCTATACCCACTGACTCAGCATGGCCAGATGATTAACAGCTGATTAGACATCACCAGGTACAATACTTCCGGTTCCTGTTGATGGATGGGGGCCCAAAACCCCTACTAAATCAATTCCAGACACCCTTTTTAAGCAACCAGCTTTATTCAGGAATGCATTCCAGGGCAAAAATCTCCAGGATACTCAGGAAAAGTTTCTGCAACTGCCCAAACAAAAGGCAAGGTCTTTTGTACTACCTTACATGGTAATTACCCCCTTTTCACTGACCACTTACAATTGCATGCATATACAGGTCATGCCCCTTTGCACGAAATTCCCTCCAATCATTATTTGTCCCCTCACAGTCCCTTTGCAGGCCTTACAACAGGTTCAAACCAGTTTCACCTATCCCCTCCTTTTGTATACCTGTGTTCAAGCACATACCTCTTTACAAAGACCAGACTTAACATCCAGGTCACACAGAGGTCATAATGACAACAAATTAAGTTTATCCTTCACTGTCCCATTCCTTGTCTGACCAATGAGTCATTAGGCCAGCTGATGCCCAGACCTCTCAGACCAGGTCCTTTTTTCCCCCTCACCTGGTTCTCTGCTGTCTACCAGGCCTTGCTCTTGTTGCCCGCTTCCTTGCCCAGTTGCTGATTCCAACTTAGAACTTTGGTGTGACCCCTGGTGTGACCACAACCCTGAGTCTTCTGCTTACTCCAACCACTAGATCACACAGCTCATGTTTTGGAACTTGCCAAACACCCATTGTTCAGCCAGAGTTCAGTTGTTACAGTTAATGATATATTTTACTGATTTATATGCTCATATTGCAATCAAATAACATCATGGGAGGTGCTAGCTGGAAGAGTTGCATCTCTATAATGTGGCCAATGACCCAAAGGCAGTGCTTGGATTCTGTTCAGGCTCAAGCCAGCATGTAGTCCCAAAGCAACAGCTTGGTGAGAGTCTGGCAAATGACGTTATACCAGGACTGTAACATCTGAAATACAATAAAATTGTCTCTAAATGTGTTGTTCAACATCTTCATTAACGATGAGGATGATGGGTTGGTTTGCACCCTGAGCAAATTCACATATGACACTATGCTTGGGGGAGAGGTAGATAAGCTAGAGTGAAGGGTCATAAAATTAGGCAGAAGTTTACACAAATAGACCCCCCAAATCAACTCAACAGTTTTAAACCTAGAAGATACTCAGCTGTATTTCCTGATGCACAGAAATTCTCTGAATAAAATTCTCAGATTTGAGACACACTGTCAACTATCAAATTTCTTTCAGACAGTAATGCTATAACCAGAACTGTTCAGCAACAGACTGGCTCATTTTCCTAACAATGACATTATTTCTGACAGGTAAATATTGGATCAGTCTATCTACTGACTTCTTACAGTTCTGAGGAAGCAAACAGCAGAGATGTCAAAAGCAAATATGCAAGGAAGTTTCTGCTGAATATTTTATCTCTGAATGTTTTCTTGAAAATAGTGATTTCCGTACAGCACATCATTTTGAATTACACTGGAAATAGCTGAGATTGATGTGAAGATTAGGAGGTTGTCAGATGCAGTTAAATTCTGAACAGAAAATTAACAACTAGCTTTCTTCAAGAGGTATTTTACAATTGTGTGTGGTTGAATGGACTTAGTTTCTGACAAACACGCTACAATCAATGATAGTTTGTTAAAATCATATTTTACCAAACATACACCATTCTGTATTACTTACATGTAGAAAACTTATGATCCCAATGTATTAACAGAACAGCCACTGCAGTAATATAGATTACATAGAAAACAATTAATGTCTCAGTTATGCAATGAGTTCCATGCAGGTGGGCCCCTATACTTGACAAAATTATTGCACAATTTGGGCCTAAGGAGGCCACTATGAAAATAGACAATGCCTATAAAATCTTCAAAATAAATACTAAAAAACATAAGCGTATATTATACCAGACTGTCTGTCTGACATTTGTACTCTTTTTGAGATTTACCTTAGAAGGTGGGAGAAATCTGATATTCAAAATAGGATCAGAAAGTTCATACACAGTTTTCCTCTCCTTTCAGACTTTCCACATGAAATTCTTTACTCAATTTACACAGGAACACTGCTATGTGGAAAAAGGAATTCTAATCACATAAATCTGAAGAACAATGAAGGTGTTTACTGATACAGCCACAAAATATTTTATTGAAAATAATTACATTTTAATTAGAGGAGCCTGAACACTATTCTCTTTTAATTACCTCTCTGGAGAATCATCTTGCTTTTTAAATCCAGGAGGAAGAGCAGGTCCAAAAAAGCCATCATCGTCATCATCATCTTTCTGAGCTCTTTTCTGTTTTCTACAAATACAGTGATTTAACTTAATAATTACCCTGACATAGATGATAGTTATCTACACTTTACAGGGGGGAAAAACCCACATAAATCATTTCCAACAGACTTTCACTATGTGGTATCTTGCTGTTACCATGGAAACACAGGATAAGAATCTGAAATAATTTGGAGCAATTAAAAATGTGTTAGCATAAACCTCATTCTTAAATCACTCTGACATTTAAAAAAAAAAGTTAAAAAACATTATTGGTGCAGAAAGAAAAAAATCAAATAGTAAAAAACTGTAATGCTGTTGTGTGTGTATAAGGTAATTTTCAAAACAGCATATTTCTTACTACATTTTTACCATCATTGTATACATTTTGATTAGTACTTTTCCAAATCAAATTTTAGATGGAACAATAAAAACTAAAACCATGGGATAAATTTGGGGATTATTTATACTAACCATTATTACATGGAAATAATGTAATGTCCTTTAAAATGCCAATCCTGCAAACACTTACATGTTTGTTTACTTTGCACATGTGACTAGTCTCATGGAATATGTGACTAGTTGGATGGAGTATGTGCAGTTTGCTGTGATTTGCTATTAAAAAAATATTCCACCCTTCAAATCAAAATAAATCATAGATCCATACTCAGGGCTGTCCTTATGAATTCTGGTGCCCTATGTAGCCCGAGCACCTGTACCCAGTCATTGCCCGCCAGGGAGCAAAGCAGCAGCTCTGTGAGGGAGGGGGACAGAGGTCTATACTCAGGGCTATGCAGGCAAAAACAGGGCAGGAAGGCAGGCAGGGAAACAGGTAGAAGGGGGAACGGTGCAGCCCACCCAGAGCTGTGGGCTGGGAGGTGGAGCGGGGGATGGGAGACTGGGACCACAGGTGCCAGTAGGTTAGGCAGGGGGCCAGGGAATGGGAGAGGGTCAGAGCAGGGAACAGGGCGCTGGGGGATTTAGCCCCTGGAGCTACAAGGCAGAGCAGGGGCTGAGGGATTTGGCCACTGGAACCAGGAGGTGGAGCAGTGGCCAAGGGATTGGACTACCGGGAGGCAGAGCAAGGACCTGGGGATTGGACCAGGTAGAGAAAGGGCTGGGGATTGGGGCTGCTTAAGCCAGCACTGCTCTCGGCTGGCACTAGGCATATGCAGCATAGGGCAATACTCCATTTGGGGTACAGTGGAGCTCTACACAGCCGCATATTCTAAGAATGGCCCTGCCCACACTTGATTAAGGCTTGATCACACACAGGATCTGTAAGACTGGCCCCTTTATACGGTATTATGAAATAGGCATTTGTAACAACCCTAAGTGAAATAGATAAGAGTTATCTCCTTTTGAGACTATTATCTGTTTCTCTCAGCCATTTTTAACATGAACACAGTATCTGGGCAGAAGCCCAAACCAGTTCCCAGTGAAATCAATAGAAAGACTACTATTAACTTGCCAGAGAATGAGAGTTGAATCAAACCTACTGGGAATTGAAAATTGTTCACTATGTCACGGATAAACAAATTTTCCCTGAGACAGTCTATTTGATCTATAATTTTGAAGTCTTGAGACTGTGTTTTCTTATCATATACCTGCTCCTAAAATAGGTGTAGTATTTCACATTATTATGTTTATATTCATGTAGAATCAAAGGCCAATTTTTTCAAGACTTTCTGCCTAAAGTTAGAAGTGGATTAATTTTCAAGATGCTAAGCAATGCTACTCATCTCAATGACATTTATAGATGTTTAGAACTTCTGAAAATCATGCTACTTTTAGGTTAGGCAGGGGGCCAGGGAATGGGAGCCATCAGACCCAGGGAAGTGGTCAGAGCAGGGCGGGGGTGTATTTGGCTGCTGGAGCTAGGAATCCAAATTTAGGGATTGCAAGTCCTTGGCTTTTTTTCCTTTCTTTTTTTAAACCTCAAAATTTCATTTCCACCTCCAATATGATTCTTAATGTACATTAGGAAATACTCATTTCAAAATTCACAGTCCACTCAAAGCCTAATACAGATCCCAAACATACCTTATTGCTAGCAAAGATATAGTTTATCAAAATCCACTTCCATGAACAGGCCAATTCCAGCAACTTTAATATTAGCTACATAAACCAGCTGCTTATTAATTCATGTGGGGAGACTTGTTGTACTTTGGAAACAGAATTCACTAATATTAAGTTTCAGATTTCTAATGAAGTGCTCATCATGCACATCTGTTGTGTACAGATACAAATTAAAAGTACAGTCTAAAGGTTAACATGTATCAAGATACAAAATCAAAATGAAACAAACAATTTAGATTGCGTGGAAAAGCCAATAGCAATCTAAGACGACACACATATCAGCTAACCTCATGGAAAGAATGGGGAAGACAATCTTAGTAGATTTTATCTTGGGGCAGGGACGGCCCAAGCCATTTTGGCACCCCGAGCCTGGGCGCGCGGCGCTGCCCCATGGCGCACGGCGCATGCGTGGGTCTGCCCCCCCTCCCCCCAGGGAGCATGAGCCCGGCCCTGGGGCGCACAGCGCATGCGCTGCCCAGCCCGGCCCAGCCACTGCTGCTGGCGCACAGAG